AGAAAATATAATTAAACGAACCGTGCTGATCATTGCTAAGCTTAACATACGCATTAACAAAATAGGATTTGGTAAAATGGAGGATGGGAAGTGCACCTGTTTCAAAAGATGGGAAAACGAAAGCACACTACTACGGTCAACAGTCAATCAGCTTGTGTTTTCTTTCCCCTGAACATAGTGGATTTAATTCAAATCCTCCACCAAGCGGATACATGAATTCAACAAAGGTGGGACGCCCGAGAGATGTGAAAATCTAAACAAATGACATAATCACTGAGAAACGGGCTGAATCAAAACCAGTATCGACAGAGAAAATTCGCGAGATCAAATTCCTGAACCATCACAGCATTAGGTTAGATGATAGAACTCGGCCGTCGGTAAAACTGCAAACATTATTCTCGAAAACGCATGCTATAGCGACAGTTCACTTATGGTGAGAGAATTAGTTGTTATCTTCGTCTTCAAAGAGGCCTCGCACAGTGAATAGATCAACCGTAGGACTGTAAGTTAAATTCCAGTCGCGTATAGGTTTCTAGTATCCATTCTACTTCCCAAGGTTGTCAAAGCGTCTGAAGGGATAACTTGGAAGAAATAGGCTCAGTTTTGTGCCAGTCGTGGCAGTATTGACCAAATCGTGCTGGAGCATCGTCACACATTACATTGTGTTTCTTGACGGTAGCATCTGATTCCAATGATATATTGGCATTATACGATTGTTTGTTGAATAGGTGGTGATAGTCAAGCGATTTAAGCCGCTGTCACTGGCGTGCTTTGAGTTTCTGGGTCTGAGATTCTACCCCAGCCACCGCCAACCAACTTTGGTAGTAGACTGTCTTGTTACCATCCTGATCAATACCACGGCCTAGGATTCAGGTTGCTGGTTTCCACGACTGAACTGCAGATCCTCGCGACTATGAGGTCTACCGCAACTACAAAAGGTGTGTGATAAAAATGGAGAGCACCTGGGATTTATGGTTTTATTCCCTACAAGCTCACGTAGCACACTTAGAAATGAGTTCAGACAAATGTCAATATTTCGCCGATATTTTTTTTTTGATTTGATGTATTTCGATAGGGTTGCCCTCGTTTCTCTTAGGCTTTGTCATAGAAATTTTTCAAAACAGGGTGAGATGAAAACCTCGGGCAACACAGTAGCCAGTGATATCGCCGCACTCGGTCAAAGAGCGCAAACAATGAAAACCACTGATGCGACTGGCTTTGACAACCCTCTTCAACCAACATTACGAGCATAATACAAATATACATTTAAGAAACGTGCATGGTGTAAAACGATGAAAAATTATCACATCCTAACATATTTATTTTCTTTATCGGACTCCAGGGATAGGTACTCCCATCAACGTAGGTTGGGTGAGTCTATCTCAGTAACCGAGTAGAGTATTTTCCATTGAGTTTCTCCTCATTTTCTGTGTTTGATTTGATTTATTTGGAGAAAAGCTAGAAAACGACCGTAAACATTGGTCAAACCTTGCAGGTTTGATTACAAAACCTATGTATGCATGCCAAGGAATGGGCATGCTATTCACCTTATTGTGCGTTTCCGCTCCGTAGCGTGGCACACCGAGACGATCGATGGCCAACTGTTTTCTCGCAGGTAGTGCTGGATGGAAATTAACCGCACTGCGCCTGTCCAATCCTTTGAGCACGCCAACCGGTAAAGTAATGATACAAAAACGGGCTAGATACTTCTGGGGTGGTTTTCGAGAGGATGCAGATACATGAGCATCATCCTGGTACGATGATGCCTCCACACAGATGACATCGTCCGGATTGACGTTTGTATTGGACCATTTAGTTGGGGCGCACTGTGTTCTAGATGTGAGCACACGAGACCAATCGATATGCTTCACAATACAACGATGCTGTATATCCAGATCGGTGGCCAAGAATTGAATCATTTGATCAAAACCCTGCAACACAAGTCTGTCCTCCCAACGATGTTCAGTACGACGCGCCACAGTGCATCGAGGTCCATGAACCGCCAGATGGGTCCGTTTCTGTTCTAACCAGTTTAAATACAGTTGTTTTGCCTGCGCTGTCGGTTGTTCCGCATCAAATGCTAGATTAGCCGCCGCATCGGCCTCATAATGTGGTCCAAGCGAAAGGTTCACTGGGAGTCGGTGAGCAGGATTCACATAGGCAATATATCGTGCAAACAATGAATCAAAAATACCACGTTCCCGTCTGGAAAGAGTTGGTGATGTTCGTTGACCGGCTTTGAATAACAAGCGCAGACATGCATCCAATGAACTGTGAGGAATGGAATAATCCGAGATGGAAAACAGGTGAGTATTAAGAAAATGGATAGGAACATTTCAGCACACAAACAATACCAAAAGGTGTACGGTGAAACAAAAAAATGTTATGCTTGTTATCCGCCACAACTGCTTGTCCCCCTTACCATTATTTTATATCCCAACCCTCATCCCTAGTATTCTTGTCGTTGGTAGTTTGCAGGCCGATGATCAACACATACATACATGCCTTGTACATGATTACGACCATGTGCAACGAATTTATGTTCAGCAAGTTTCAAAACGGCACATAACTAGTGCTTAGTTGCTCAAGCGGGAAGACCTGTTACGATGGAATATGCAGTGAAAATGGATGAAGCTCCACAAAAACCAAGTTTTACCAAAAAGAAGTAAAACTGGATAAAACCACAGTTGATTCCGGGTGATTGTTTGGGCTATCTCAGGTGAGATACTGAACGCGCTTCACGAAGAGTTCATTGATACGTTACCTTAAGTATCGCTTTTCTATTTCTCACTTCTCGCTTTTTTTAGCTTCTGTAAGTACGCTGCGTTTGATAAAGCCCAATATTTGGACCTTCCACGTTCTGGTTTTTTTTGTGTATTCTGCATTGACACCATAATTTATTCAACATACAGCAATGGATCATATATTTCACCCTGAAGGATTCGATGTTGAACCAGATGCAACCAGACAGTGGAACTATTGGTACAGAACATTTCTCAACGCTCTTCAAGTCAGTGGGTAATTTAAAACTGGATGTGTTGATTTCATGCACATCTCTCGTCAGTTTGTTCAGAAGTTAGAGTCCTTAGCAAGAGATTGCAGTTTCAGGTCCACTTCTTCGAGGAAAACCGAGATGATGCTCTCCAAGGTGCGTTTATTAATGGAATTCAATCTAACCAGATCAGACAACGCCTGCTGGAAAATAGTTCGCTGAATCATCAAAAGGTCTTTGGTCAAACGAGAGCCCTAGAAACGGCAGAGCAACAATTTATGTTGTATCAGAACTTCCCCAACGCGTCTTATACAGCTGCTATACGCGTACTCTCATCCACTCCTCCCTCAAGTTTTCGATAGGGTGCTCTAACGATTGCATCGTCGCCCGGAGAGTTTCCTCTAAGGCTTCAACAAGTGCCCCGCAAGAGATGGCTTTTGTAGGGATTGTGGTGAAAGGACCACTTTCAAAGAATTTGTCTTTCAAACGGCTAAAAAAATCACACTACATCTACCGCATGCCCATCCATATCGGCAATTATCGCGGCTAACTCTTCTCAAAACTTTTCGTGGACCTCTAAGTCAATGGAGTTCCTTATTGTGACATGTGTCAACGTCAATTATGCTATCGATCACTATCGATTCACTCGCCGGTGCTTATCTCTCAGACGAAGACCAGTGTTTACGTCACCCACATACACATGCACACACGCGGGCGCTCGCCCGCTCGCACACGCACACAGACACCACGGCTCATTCCTATTGGTTGAC